TGTGAAGAATCAATAATACATAAATTAAAAAATGCTTTATATGGTCTAAGCAAGCATCGAGGGCATGGAATACAATGATTTAATATTGCTTCAAATAGAATGACCACATTTAATGCTCATATGAAATTCCATTTATGTGAAGATACATAAAAATGAAGATATCTTGCTTGTTTGTTTGTATATAGATGATCTAACTTTCATAGGCAATGATCCACTTATTTAAAAAAAAAAAATTTTTTTTTGAGCAAAGCATGGTGCAAAAATTTGAGAGGATAGATAACTTAAATCCTTTTTTGGATAAAAATGAAGCAAAATAATGAAGGCATATTTATTCCATAAGAAGCATATGCAAAAGAAGTTCTCAAGAAATTTAAGATGGAGGATTACAAATCAATAAGCAATTATGTAAAATGTGGAATCAAATTATTGAAGATTAACGAATACAAAGTGGTAGATTCAACCAAATTCCAATATTTAATTAGATGTTTAAGATATTTAACATTAACAAGGTGCAATATTATGTATGATCGAATATTATGCATGGTGTTAGAATTAGAAGCCTAAATATGAAAAACTTGATCGAGCCACACTTGAAGGCGACTAAAAGGATTCTTTACTACAACAAACATATATACAGTAACACACAGATCATTATATTCATTAGATGTAATATATTACTATATAAATATCTAAAATAGTTATTGGGCAGAAAATAATTTGAAATTGTATTAAAGGGATCTAGAATCCTTCATATGTTTGAATACTCTACATGAAAATTGTTTTAGAACTTTCTAGAATTAGCTAGATAGCAATTGGATCTTGAATTCTATATTTACAACTTCAAATATCTCAATCAAAATTGTGAAGTTGATTCTCATATATATTTAGTATGAAATAATATTATTTCATGAACAACATACAAACATGAAATTAATTATCTTCATTATAGTCATCTAAAATAATAAAATAAAATTTATTTTTTCATGATCATCAAATATGGATCAATCAAGGAGGATTAATTTAAATCTTCATAAAAATATCAATTTGAATTCAATTGATTTATTTATTGTCATGTCCAAAGTCCTTATACAGGATATGGCTATAGTTTTCTTCTCTTCAACTCATCTTATTATCATGGATGATTGTTCAAATAATGATCTATTTTAACTTTTTTTCTAATTTATTTACAAATATCTTTTTTTTTTTCTTCATTACCTTTATAGTAAATACAATTAGCTGATTGACATAATGTAAATTCTCCCATATACTTAAGAAAAAATAATTAATTTAATGATTTCCCATTTCATCTCTCAAGCTAAGTTTATATTATGATAATATCTCTTGTAAATGTTAATTTTATTTTCATTTCATTTACTTTCACTTACCCTAAAAAATCAGCTAATTGAAAATTTCAATACTTTATAAACATGAGCAATGATTAACTTTAAAAAAATTAATATCCACATCAAATCCAATATGATTATTCTTTTTTATATATCTTTCTTAAATATTAGATACGTGTGACTGTTCATTTAAGCTAGTATTAAAAATTATCAATCAATAGGTCTTGGGTTTGAATCTTGCGTGTGTGAGTTTACTTTAATTTGACTAAATGTCTCCCAAAAATATCCAATCAAAAAGCTCACAAAGATTGTCAAATCTCATGTGGCATTGCCGTATCGAAGGCTCTGTATTTTTAAAATGCTATGAGAAGCACTCCAAATATCCCTCTATGAAGTTTTTTATGGTTCATTGATTTAAAGATAATTCAAATGTATAGTGCACTAATTGAAAAAAAAAAAGTTGAGAATTCTCATAGATTGAATTCAAGTGCTCAATCACATTAGGAGTTTAAACTAACCTCTTGCTGAAGTAGGTGTAAAATAAATGTGGAGTTTTTTTTTTTTTTTGGCTTGAAGTAAAATGAATGGAGTATAAATCATGACTAGTGGCCGCAGGCTTTGGTTGTAGCCGACAGTGGTGATGGCCTGCTGTGGTGATGACCCACTATGGTGGCAGTTGACGGTAGTGGCAGCAGATGATGGTGGCAGTCGGCGGTGATGACTTTCGACAACAGCGATATCTGGCGACGGTGGCGGCAGCTGTCAATGTTAGTCTAGACAATGAAGTTTCATTGTATGTAAAAATCACCCGAATATGATACACCAAGAGTAAACTAGATGGTGAATTTCAAATACACCAAAATTTAATACTATATTTAGTTTAATTCAAACTAAACACCAATATCAAACTTTACACTCCTTTTACTTCTAATCAAACCGGTTCTTAAGTAAATATCAAATCACTTGGGATCTAGATTGCTACTTTATAGAGATAGGATATATATCTCTCCATGACTTTAAAAACTTTTATGCACGGTCAAGCAAACTTAATTCTATTTCATTGAATATAAATAATATATGAGATATATATATCTCTCAATGACCTTAAAAACTTCTATTAATAAAAAAAAACCTATGAATTCAATTTATATGACAAATCCAAAAACTCTTAAAACAAAAGAATTATAAGGACATTAATCAATAACTAAGGCTTCATTTGGGTCCACATTTGGCCACTACTTTTTCATTGTTTTCAAGAAATATTAGCACTAAAACATTGCTTCAATAAGCATTAAAAAAATTACTCTAAAGGAAGCCTTAATCTATCTATCTACCCACTATATGTTGGTAACATATCTCACCTTTTTATGTTATTCATTTGTCCCATTAAAATACTTCTTATTTACAATACTAGCACACTAAAGTATTTTTTCAATAAAAACACCCCAAAAATTTAAAATTAATGAAGAAAATTCATTCATTTATATGCGCACAAATAAATCTTTATGAATTTAAACAATAAATTGAGAAAAAATTTCATAATTTTTTGAACTCTTAATTGGTTGCTATTATTATAACTAGAAACATTAGTTACTATTTTTATAAATAGAATAGATATGGTTTAAATATTTAAATAAAAAAAAACCACCATAGAATAATATAATACAAATAATAAATGAAAACGCAAATCTCAATTTTATAAATTAAATATTACCCTTCCCAAATGAATTTGAAAAAATAAATAAAATAAAATAAAATCAAAACCATATTATTTATTTTGCGATTGAAATTTAGTTTTGCATGAATATTATAATATTTGTTGCATTTAATCTATAAATATTATATTTATAAATCCAATACTAATTATTTAAATGAAATATAATTAAATTAACTGGAGAACAAGTAAATGCTCACTAAGGTTCTTCATGAATTTAATTACCCAATAGAAAATGATGATTCACAATGCACATCAAATACACTCCTTAACTGGAATATAAAATGATGTCTCAGCACTCATATTATAGCTAAAAAATGAATATCAATAATCAAATTATAGACAATACAAGTATTTATTTATAAATTTCATGACTAAAATAAAAATTGCAAGAAAATTCCCACAAAATAAATCACCTCAAAATCTAGAAATTAAATGCTCACAAGTAGGATATAAATGAGTCGAGCATTTATGTAATTAGCTTGTTTAATTCTTATTGAGCGTAAATTTAAGCTGAACTCAAGTCCATTTACAAAGCTAGAGCTTGACTCATCAAAAAATTTTGTAGGGTCAATCTCAAACTTGCTCAATTATTGAGCTTAATTTTTTAATTTAAATTAAATTTTTCATTTTTTTTTATGTATACTTATTTTAAAAAGATTAAAATATATTATATAATGCTAATTTAAAATAATTTTTAAATATACTTCAAATTAATCGAGCTGCTTAACAAGCCAAGACATGCTGAGCTTCAATTCGAGCTTGTTTAATATACAAGTTCAAGCTCAAACTCCTGACTCAATAAGCTCATTAATGAGCCGGCTTGGAATACTTATATACCCCTAGTCCCAAGTATCCCAAAAGAGAAAATAAAACATGCTACCTTTTTCAGGGGTAATAGTAACTTTTTTTCCTAAAAAGCAACTAAAACTTATTACTTCTACATGAGGAATAGCATCAGTAAGCGCTTCTTGATACCAATCTCTCTCTGCACACATTTTCAGCTTCTTTTTCCAAATATCAAACAAACATGGATACCTAAATGGGGAGAATAAAAATAGGGGAAAGAGGGTATAGTTTTAGCTCAATTTACCCATTTCCTATTATGTATATTATGGTTGTGAATGTGAAAAAGCAAGATCTACAAAATAGTAAGCTTTATTGTATTTACTTGTTGCATCATTAACTCTGCCAGCAGCAGTGATAAAATGATCAGAATTTTACTAAAATCCATCGAAACAATCCATTAAATGTAATACCAAAAATCTTGTTTATAAAAATAATTTAGAAAAAGAAAACTGCATGATAGTCCTCTCAAAACTCTCAAGGGGCTTTCAAAATCAAACAAAGTGTCTGATAGCTTTTTCTTTTAGCTTTTTTTTTTTTTGAGTTTCATTTGGAACAATTTTCTTAATCCACCGTTGCTTGTCCGGGTGGTGAAGAGCCGATTAGGCAAAACCTAAGTCCCTGGTTCGAATCCCTTCATGATAGTCCTCTCAAAACTCTCAAGGGGCTTTCAAAATCAAACAAAGTGTCTGATAGCTTTTTCTTTTAGCTTTTTTTTTTTTTGAGTTTCATTTGGAACAATTTTCTTAATCCACCGTTGCTTGTCTGGGTGGTGAAGAGCCAACTGGACAAAGCCTAAGTCCCTAGTTCGAATCCCTTGGCAAGCAATGAAAGCCTTAAGTGCTGGCCCGTATAAATTGGTGTGGGTTGCATGCTAGGTCAACCGGGGTTTTCACTGGCCTAAGGACAGTACTTCCTCGTAAAAAGAAACAATTTTTTTATAGTTTTTTAAAACAGCTTTCTAAAAATTTGTTTTAAAAAATAATTAAAAAACTATCTCAAATAAAACCTTAAACAAATGCCATATTGCAGCTATCGAAAAACTGGTTACAGCAATAATGCGAGCTAGAAAAAGAAAGAAAAGTGAGACTTCAAAGTACAATCTAACATTAGAACAGTTAAGTTTCATTTGGGATAATTTTTTTTTACCATTTTCTACAATAATTTTTTAGTACAAATCTTTTTTGAAAGCATAAAAAAAGTGGCAAAAAATTGTTTGTTATGACTTCAACCAAAATCTATTCTAGAGACCTGATTCAGAATCTAGCAGCAAACGCTTTCTAGGAAATGCCTCAACAATATACCAATGGCAGACAACAAGTTAGCACTACCTTCGATGTGTAGCATTGTAGAAAGGTGCAGAAATCATAGCAGCGATCTCAGTATCGAATAGCAAGAGGAGGACCAGCTTCCTTTTGCAACAAATATTTCACAGTGAGGAGAAGAAACCACATGAAAAACCAAAACTCCTGCAATTCTATTAGCTTTAACATTTTGATACTGCCTAATAGCTTCAGATTATGGAATTGGGAGCTTTACCTGATGGACTCAGTAGGAGCAGATCCTCTCTTAACTAGAGAAAGGAAGCAAGTTTGGTGAGGGTACCCCACTTACACAAGAAAATTAGGAGAAAGGAAGAAATTTGTATGTCAGATGCGTTTGGGTGCATTAACAGATTGGTAGCAGATCTTCTCTGTCCGATTTGGTGTAGATCCTCACTAAATAGAAGGGTTGCATTAACAGTTCTCGACTGATGAATTCGAGGAAGAAAAGTCATAACGAAGATGGCGAGCATGGAAGTGACCAAATGTAAGAGCAGCATTTGTTGAAGCAGGACGAAGCCTCCTCAACCAACAAAAAATAAACAAAAGTAACATTTTTAGTGCTTATTATAAGTCTTCAAATGTTTAATACTCCAAGATATAGCCTATATATCTTAACATTAAAGGTTAACACCAAGACATAAAATGATGAAAATATCTTGTCTATAAAAAGCAACATGGTTAAGAGCAAGTCTCTTTCCAAACCAAATGCTACCAAATAGTTTAACCAGGGACAGAACTCAAAAGAGAATATGGGAAACTAGATAATGACTCCAGCTGGGATACTTAACTCCTGCTCCTGCTCCTGCTCCTGCTCAGTTGTCTCCCATTACCAGCACCGTTGCTTCATAAAGAGTAAAGAGAAAGACATCAGTAGAACGCTTGTGACACTTGAATTATGAAAGAAACTAAGAAACTACCCAAAAATATAAAGGATACTAAGAAATTACCCATAGGGATATGGAGGTGACCTGCTGTAACTCCGACCGCGGCGAGGTGACAAGCTACGGCGTCTAGGAGACCGATCACGTGGGCTGTAGCTCCTGAACAATAAGAAATTACAAAGATATGGTTCCCTAAGCTAAGTAAACTTTGATGTAGCTGTTGCCAACAGCATAATTTTACAAGCGTGTCCAAGTTCCCATGTGGCATCAGTATTTCAACAAGTATGATCAAATCCTACTTCAACCATAAGAGGAGGTGAAGGTTAATGATATAGCCCTTTTTTTAAATCGGTACCGATAACGTTCTAAAAAGTGATATGCATTAAAAATAAATAAATAAAACTTAAGTGCTGTTATTTGTAGGTATTCATTTCCAAAGCCGGGAAGGATAAAACTCCAAGCATAACTTCTAGATCCTCCAACAACAACTAGTGATACTTTACATTAGCAGGCATGCATAAGTCTGCATAATTTCACAGATAACTAAACAAATAGCTCACGTAAAAAATTAACTGTTAAGAAAATAGGCTAGCCAGTTCTAAAATTCAGTAGAGAAAGAAAGAGTTGTATGCTAATGAAAGATTACCTTCGACCATAACTTGGACTTCTGCGAAACCTGGGACTTGGGCTTCTGCGGCTCCCGTTCCCTCGTCCTCCAGGACCAATTCTCATGCGGCACTCACGAGCAAAGTGGCCTGGCTCACCACATTCATAACACTTCAGATCAGAACCACCATGACGGTCACGGCCACGGCCACTAACACCTCGACCACTACCTGTGCCTTTATGAGATAACTCAACTCTCCACCCATGTTTACCTACAAACGATGTCAAATAAGGCATTGTAATTGGTCAAATGAAGTTCAAATAAAAATTAAGATATCACCGATTAAAAGTGATGCATTAGATCATAATCCACAAACATTACACCTACCATCATCATCAATCATTAGACTTATCCCAACTCTTTGAGCTCATTTTTATGAACCCTCTCTCCACTCATTCTTGCTTGTGTTAAATGTCTTATGTATTTTAACAATTTTGTTGTCATAATTACCATCCAAATTACTTCCGGTTCACCCTTTTTGCTTCCCAGACCTTAAATTTACTTTACTATTTATTTTATTTCATGCATATCTTATAAACTGCATTGTATATACCAATTTTGGGGTAGCTCCCTTGTTTTCTTCACAAGATTAAGTACTAAACTAAAAAAAAGGTGGTTCTTGGATAAATATAAATTTATCTTCACTAAAAATTATGGAGGTTAACCTTAGATTCTAAAGGATTTCTTTTGAGTAGATCTAAAACCAAATACATAAAATGTAATTTTAGTAATAAAGATTTAGTGGTTGGATTGTGACATTGGGTAACCAAGTCAATAAAAAGAGTGCACATTTTAAATATCTCAGGTCTATTGCTCAAAGCAATGGCGAAATAGATGGAGATATTATTAGTAAAATTCAAGTCGGGTGGCTGAAATGGAGGAATAATTCGAAATTGTTGTGTGATAAAAAAATACCCCTCAAACTTAAGAAAAAATTATTAAGATGGTGGTGAGACGTGCAATGCTTTGTGACGCAAAATGTTGGTCATAAAATCTATTAGGAATTAAATTTTTATTATTATATCCGGCCTATGTTAAAAAAAATAGAGGTAGACCTCAAAAAGACTTGAATAGATTTTATTAGAAATTAAATTTTTATTAGATTTAAATAGATGGTGGTGAGACCTGCAATGCTTAATGGCAAAGAATGTTGGCCATTAAACATAAAATTAAGAGTTGCAAAGATGATGATACTCAGATGGATAAGTGGCTTCACTCTCAGAGACAAAATGCAAAACAAGTATATACATGATGGTTGGAGTATATCTAGTGGCGGATAAGAATAGAGAGTCTCCTTAGATGGTTTGGTCCTATGTTGTACCAATACGGATACGGCGACACATATACGACACGATACAGATACAGGACACGTCAATTCTTAAAAATATAAGATACGGGTACGGTGCGAATACGACATTATAATTTATAAATCATATATAAAAATTAAGAAAGCAATCAAAGCATAATATTTGAATTTTAAAAAAAAAAATGAAAGTAACATCATTTGTAGCCTTGTAGCTTATAATATCAAAATAAAGGTAAGCATTAAATGTCTAGTACAACAACATAAACATAAACATAAATTGTCTAGCACATGAAGTTTCAACTAAACAATAGAAGGAATGATATGATTAGCTTCTTCAGCAGTTTGTCTTCGAACTTCTATATCATCTTTAATAAATATCATAGCATATAATTCAGGCTCATCAAGTGAAAGATTAGCAATTTCTAATATTCCCATATCATCAAGAGACTCAAATCCATCTCGGAAATGAGAGAACCTTGCTCGTAGCCATGAAAGTAAATACGACGGGGTCTTTTTTGTCAGATTTTTTTTTTGTTTTTTAATGGACACGCATATTGGATATGCGTGTCCTTTTGAAATTAAATAGTATTTTAATTGGATACGGCAAAGGCATATCTGACACGTATCGATGTTGTGTCGGAGGTGTATCCGTGTATCGGTGTATCGGATACAACAAACTTTCATAAATAAGTGTATCGGTGCACCATAATTTGGTCACATAAAATGTCAATCATCCGATGACCTGGTTAGAAGAGTAGATGTATTGAAGCTGACATAGGTTAAGAAACATAAAAGTAGACCTAATTGGTTATAATGTATTATAAATGAACTTTTTTATTAGATGTAAATGAGAACTTGAATCTTAATAGGACATAATGAGGAAAAAAATGATTCATATAGCCAACCCTATGTAGTAGGATAAAAACTTGATGTTGTTGTTGTTGTTGTTGTTGACATGTTACTTTTCGCCTCCCTTGTTTCCATTTTTTACATATCATTTCACACCTGCCACTTTCAATCTTCACCATATAAACGCTTGACATTGCAAGCAATGTGCTTGCATAAGCACGCCATTAATGTTATTTTCATATCGCACTAATTCTTTCGTAGCATGATGCTAAACTTTGTTGTGAACTTAATATCTATTTTATATGTTATCACTATTTAAAATTGCACAATATGAGGCATGCCTTAGCACACGTAGAAGAGAAACTGTGATGAGGACATCCGACCGTGAAAGCTTATCAGAGGAGTCGAAGATCGACAACCATGATCGCCTCACTTTATTTTGAGTTATTATTTGTATTTTGAATTATTTATGCATTTTTTCGTTTTTACCCTCACTTGAGGGAGTAGTCCTATGTAAGCCCTACGGGCATGTTTGTTTGTTCTTTTTTTCCTTCATTGTATGTTGGCTATTTAAAGCCTCCTCATCATTTGAGGTTAATGGATGATTATTAAGAAAAAAAATTCATCACTTTTTCTTGAGATAGATGGGAGTTCTTAGGAGAGCGGAAGTCCCTAAGTGAGGGCAATGAAATACCCACTAGCCACAGGATGTGTCCGGCTCGTGGTTGAAGTCCCTAGGTGAGGGCATCGCGTTACCCGTCAGCCGCACGAAGTGTTCGGGCTCACGGTTTTATCTTTCTTTCCGTTAACTTTTTTTCTCCTTCTCCCTTGACCGACAGCCTTACCCCCTCCACAGCTGCCGGCCAAGCTTCCCTCTTCCCTCCTCCCACTCTCTAAGCCGAACAACACCACCCTTTCTTTCCCCCACCTCCAACCGTCGGCCACTCCACCACAACCCAGCCACCAAGCGTTTTCTCCCATCCAACCCGCCGGCTACACCCTCCTCAAAACCCCCCACCACAGGCCATGTTTCCCCTACACCCCACCGCTGGCCCACCCTCCAAGTTCCCTTGATTCCAATTTCATTTCATCATCATTACATTCCTAAATTAGCTCATGTCTTATTTGGAAAGTTTTCGAATTCTCCTAAATAACCTACATCTTTTTTAGAAAATCTTTCAATCATATTAAATTTGAAATTATTTCATATTTTACTCTCCAATCTCCCATTAATGTATGGGTCCACATACATTGTATGTGGACACCTTTTCCTTTCCCTCCTCATTAGGCTGGCCCCTCTCTCTCTCCCTTATTTTAATTATTTCCTTCCTTGTTAAGGAATTCAGTTAGGGGAATAATTAACTACCTATTTATCCTTCCCTCCATCTTATTTGAATATAAAATTTTAAATACCTTGATTAGAGAAAAATCTGAAATTTAATTTCAGATTTTTAATCATATTATCTTCCCTCACCCCCTCCGTTCTACATATCCACTCTCCTAACTGGGTCATCAAAAGGATGGCATTTTATATGACCAAATCATCTAAGGAAACTCTTTGATCTTATCTTCCATTGGAGTTACTCCAACCTTCTCATATATATATACTCATTTTACATTATGTCTATAAGAGTGAAGCCACTCATCTACCTGAGCATCCTCATCTTTGCAACACTTAATTTATGCTTCTCTTTTAATGACCAACATTCTGCGCCATAAAGCATTGCAATTCTCACCACCATCTTATATAATTTTCCCTTAAGTTTGTGAGGTACTTTTCTATCACACAACAAGCTTGATGCATCCCTCCACTTCAACCATCCAACTTGAATTCTACTAACAAGCTTGATGCATCCCGCACTCTTATTAATAACTTGATTGCCCAAATTCACAATCCCTCCACTAGATCTATTTCTACTAAATTACATTCTATGTATTCAGTTTTAGATGTACTCAAACAAAAACTTTTAGACTATGAAGTTGACATCTATAATTCAAATTTACCTTAAACTCCCTCTCTAGTCTTGTCAACAAGAAGAATGTCATCAACAAAAAAATATAGACTGAGGGTACTTCAGTATAAGGATGTGTTTGAATTTTGTATTTGTTTGGATTTTTTTTTTTCTAAATTCAAGATTATGATAAATTTTGTTAGAATCATTGTTTAGTTTGTGGTTAATTTATTTGTTATTTGAATATGAATCTTATTTATGATTTAGTTTCTTTCTATTGTGGAGTCATTTAGGATTGATAAGATATATTTTTAAATTAATTTTATATACTTTTGCTTATAAATAGGCTAGAGTCTCATTAAAAAAAAATTAATCTGACATTTATTCCAAAGTTCTTTTTCTCTTTTCTATTTCATAGTGAGGGGATTGAGGGTTGAGGCTTTTGCTCGGGATACTTGTTGGCTCAAGGAAAGAATTTAAGTGGTCTGTTCCAAATGGGGGATTCAACAAGCCTCGAAGGAGTGGTGGTTGACATCCTTGTGGAGTGGAGAAGAAGACTGATGAAGACATACGAAAATGATTAATATTTGTGATTTAGCTTTGTAGCCTGCTTCCATGGTGAAATGATGTGGAGATGTCCATTCAGGAAGGCGAAATGTACTATGCATTGGGAAGGAGATGGAAAATTACTCATTTTTGTTTACTCAAGTTCCACCTCAATAGCATAATGAAACCCAGTTGTGTGCTATTGGATCAAAAACTTTTATATAGAGTCAGTCCTCTAATTGGCTGCATGAGGAATCTTTGTTCGTCTGAGAGTAATGTGCAAATCTTTTTGTTATTTGTCATGACTGAATGTAGTGTAACGACACAAAATTTTCAATTGGACTTTTATTAGAATGTGTGTTGAATGTGTTTAGGCTAGTTTGACAATGGGCAATGCGATGCAATAAGTCTTATTGTGACATTTTGTACTGATCGGCTTAAGGCCAATTGATAGTAGGAAATTTTTAGACATTCAAAATGATAATCACATTATGTTTAAGCACCTTTATAAATATCCCAAAAGTTCAGGCTTGTTTGATAATGGGTGATGCCCAATAT